AGGTTGAGCGGCTTTGCCCATTTGACATCCCCGCGTCCCTCTGAGCTGCCGGAGCTCCGAGGCCACGATTAAATCCCCATTGAGGCCACGATTAAATCCCCATTTACGCCCCGTTTTCAGCTGGTTTTGGTGCTGCCGAGAGGACCCGGAGCTGGAACTTTTCAGCCTCCAGGTTGCAGTGAGAGGGTTTGATCCGGGGATGCTGAACTGTTCTGCTGGGATCGAGAGTAACCAAGGGAAATATTTTGACACTCGCAACTGGAAGACGTTTGGGGGGGGGGCGTCGCCATTAGAAGCAAAACGTGGTTATTTTGACACTTCGTTGCAATTTGCAGCAAAAAGGGAAAAAAAAAAAAGGAGGAAAAAAACCAAGCGTAAAATAGCAGATGGAGGGATGGAAATTTCCATTTTTTGTAGACAGAGTAGTTACAAGACTCACCAGTTCACTCGAGGACGTGTTATTTGCAGCTCGGAGATCAGTCAGTTCGTACTTTGGTGCCCGAACCTGCAATGAAGGGAATGAGATGACTGGCAAGGTTTGGGGGGGTGGGATGGCCTCTCTTATCACGCTGCTGAAAACCACGTGGTGATTACTCTGCTCTCGGGGGGTGGGGGCTACACCGGGATTACAACCTTTAGTACGGGGGGATTTACACCCCGTGAGTGATGTGAAACCATCTGAGGGTGGTCAGGGCACAGGGACGGCTCTGGAGGGATCCATTTCCCAGGGAATCGTGATTCTTCCTCATCCAGGAAGCCAAATAAAAATAATGATGGTTGTCCAGGCAGAGGGAACTCACCTGGAAATAAAGCTGCTGTGAACGGGGAGAAGGGATGAGCTGGGAAGGGAGAAGGGAGAGGTGTTGGGAAAGGAAGGGTTGGAGTGGGAGCAAAGGAGCTGAGGATGGTTTTTAGGATGCACATGGAGAATTTAGGACTTGCTGGGCTGGGTGGCAGCTCTGGCACCAGCCCTGTGTGTGCCCTTCACAAAAGTAATTAAAAAAAAAATCATCCTTTTCCCTGATTCTTCCCATCTTTCTTCCCAGAGGAGTGGGGGGGGGGGAACTGATGGGACAGTAATAGGGAAGCTGTGAAGTGCAGCTGAGAAATGTGAGGAAAGGGGGATGAATGAAAAGCAAACACACACAGACAAATCCCCCTTTCCCTACACAGCTCTGGAATGCTGGGATAACTCCGAGAGGTGAGTGCTGTGCTCTCAGCTCCCCTGGAACACAAATCCTCATCCAGGGAAAAGCATTCCTGGCTAAACTGTGCTGAGAAAGCAGCTTCAGGCCCAGCTCCCCAAGCTGCTGACCCAGGACAGGGCCCTTCTGCCCCGAAATCTTGGCCGATTTGCTCCTGCCTCCTTGCTGGATTTTTTTCCTTGGCAATTCTTTCCAGCCTTGTGTCGTTTGGGAATTAAATGAATGTTGTGGACACTCCCTCTGTGGGATCATTGGCCAAGGTGTTTGTCAGGGTGACTGGATGGTTGGACAGGGCTTGGAGCAACCTGGGATTGCTGTGGAAAATTCCCTGCCCATGGGTGGAACGAGATGGGCTTTAAGGTCCTTTCCAACCCAAACCATTCTGGGATTCTGGGATCCCATGGGTTTGGATGTTGATTCCTTCTCTCCCCTCGTTCACCTGCATGTTGTTCAGAGTCAAACATCGTGGATGTCCAGCTGACAGAGTCTCCTGGCAGCAGCAGCTGGTCCTGCTGCAGTCAGAGATGGTTCAGTGCTGCTCACAGGGGGAACAGGTTTGTGTGGAGATCTCCCTGTTCCCAGGAGAGATCTGGGAGAACCTGAGCCATGGAGAAGAGCCCTTGGGGCCCAGCCTGGCCTCCTTGGGAAGAAATGTTTCCTGAGGTTCAGGCCAGTGCCATCACCACCAAAAAGGGCCATTTTCTCCCCTCTGACATTTCTAATTTCTCTTCGTTTCCCCTTTTACCCTCTAATGTATTTCTGTGTCAACTGCTGATGTTTGGGAGTAAAAGAAGAGGCTACACAGTGGAAAGGGGAATAAACATCAGCATTTCTGACACCCCAGGGGAGAGGGAATCCATGTGCTTGGTTTCCTTTTGCCATCCAGGCTGGGCAAGGGGAAAGGCAGCTCTTTGACACCCACCCCCCTTATTATCTTTACTCTTCCTTTTGAAGACAAAACAGGGCTCTGCTTCTCCTGAGCAGGGCAAAACCTCCAGGTTCCAGCTGGAATGGCAGAGGTCTCACAGGTTCTCCTGAGCCCCAGAACTGTCTTTGTTGAGAGATTTCCTCATGGACCACATCCACTCCCAGTTTGGAGCCGGGAGCATCAGTTGCCATGGAGACTTCTTTGGGAAAGTCATCTGGGGAAAGTGCTGACGTATTTTTAGCTTTGGGTAATGAAGCTGAACAGCTGGAGGTGAAGGTGAGGGCCAGCCAGGTGCCACAGGTTCATGGGCTGGTGGCTGGGACCCCACCAGTGCTGCTGGGCTGGGATTGGGAAGGATCCTCAGGGCTGTGGCTCCACCAGGACAACGGAGGAGAAAGAATCACCCCAAAGAAAAGCTGCTAAGGAGGTGTTGTTACATGGGAAGATAAAGAGGAGGCACTGGCTGAGGTCAGAGCTGCTCATGTACAGTGTGTTCAGCCTATAAATAGCTCCCAATCTACCTCTGCACCAGTGGTATTTTATTTATAGAGTGATGAGGGGACAAAAAGCTCCATTTGGTGTCAGGAGTTGATTTGGGAAGGTGGTTCAGGCTTGGTCAACAGTTTAGGTCTCTGAGAGGAGCAGAGCAGGACCCCAAATGTGTGGGGTTTTCCCCTCTGGCTGAGGCTCAAAGGCTGCAGTGCTGTTAATGCACCCTCTGGAATCAGGGAGGGCACTCCAGGTGCTGGCATTCAGGTATCCCACAGCAGATAGGATTTATCCATGGCCCTTGGATCAGCCTAACTCACATGGAAACCCAGATTTTACTCTCTAAGATACTCTCTTGTCTCCCTGAGATATATTTGGTTCTTTCGCCTTCAGCTGTCAAAAGTTGATTTGAAAATTAACTGGTTTTGGTGTAATATTTACTGCACTTTAGCTTTCAGCACAGCACAGGGGAATAGATCTCCCTACAGCTGGCAGTGTCTGATGGGATTTGTTCCTGCTCCAAAGGCTCTCCACGTTCTGTGCCAACCCTTCCAGCTTTGAGCAGCCCCATCACCTTTTCCTACCCAGCTCCCACCGGCTTGGGAAGACAGAGGGAAGAATTTCACCTTAAAGAAGCCACAGTTGGTGCAAAACTGAACCCAAAGTGGAGAGATTATAGATGTGGCCTGATATTCCTTGGAATTAAAAGGATCTTCCCTTTTTTTTTGTACCAGTGGGCTCTTTGGCTGGGTTAAAAATGGGGCATCTCTCCTTGAGATAACCCAGCTGGGGGGAGGGTTAAGCAGCAGGTCCTGGAAGTGCCCTGGCCCATCCCCAGGGAATTATTGCTGGCAGAATAATTCCACAGAGCAGGCTGGAGGTGTCAGGGGAGGTGGTGAACCTGGATGGGAGGTGATTTAGAAACAGCCTTTAAATAAATACCCTGTTAGCAAAGACATCACCAGAACGTTTCCTGATGGGTTGTGATGCTCCTGACTTTCTCCCAGAAGGACTGAGGACTATCCAAAGCTTTCAGTGCAGGGTCTGGTGTCCCCTGTCCCCAGAGGAGGTGACATTCTGACAGGGAATGTTTCCTTGTCTGAGGCTTAAAGCCTGAACTACCCAGGGTGGGCCAAACATTTTCCATCCTCTCTTTCTTGAGAGAAAATAGAAAAATTATTAGTCAGGTTCCCCCCCCAAAAAAAAAAAAAAATCTGCTGAGTTTTCCCTCCCACTTCAGTGAAATGCTTTCACCTGAAGATTAAACTCCTCTGAGCAGAGTTAAGTCCCAGTGTGCTGATGTTTCCTATAAAACATGATAAAGCATCCCATGATTTCCTCCCCAGGCATGGGGCAATCAGCACCTCTTTCCCTCCCCACTCCCAACCAAACCCTTTCAAGGAACAGGCTCCCAGCTCCCTGGAAGGTTCAAGTTTCTCTGTCTGGCATTTGCAACAGTCAGATTTTTGGGCAGCTCTGGGGTTGGGTCTGCAAGTTGAGAGGTCTGTGAGGAGCAGGAAAGGTGCAGAGACCTCGAGGTGGTGGATTATGGAGTCAGAGAATATCCTGAGCTGGAAGGGACCCATCCAGTCCAACTCCTGGCCCTGCACAGGACCCCCCAAAATCCCACCATGTCCTTGAGAGTGTTGTCCAAACACTCCTTGAGCTCTGGCAGACCCCAATGAGTCTCCACTCCCAGGAGTGGAGAGGGGCCAATTAAGGCTGGAGGGGGATTGAACACCATTAAAAAGCAAAACAAAGTCAGATGTCAGAAGCTGAGCCAGGCTGGGGACGTGGGATGGAAGTGATTCCTTTGGAGCTGTCGGATTTGGAGTCATCTGAGGCTGTTTATTGCTGTAAAACTGGTGTAAATCAGAGCAAAGTGAGATGGGAGTTGCTCAGGGGGACAAGGGACAGGACAAGAGGGAACGGCCTCAAGTTGTGCCAGGGGAGGGTCAGGTTGGATATCAGGGAAAATTTCTTCACTGAAAGGGTGGGCAGGCCCTGGCACAGCTGCCCAGGGCAGTGGTGGTGTCCCCACCCCTGGAGGGGTTTAACAGCTCTGTGGATGTGGCACCTGGGGACGTGGGCCAGGGGTGGTTTGATGGTTGGACTTGATGGTCTTGGAGGGCTTTTCCAAAGTAAATGACTCAGTGGGTCTCTGCTGTCCCCTCTGCTCTCCGAGGTGCACCCAAGATGCACACACAGAGGTCTCTCTGTGTTAACAAATCACAATGACACTGCTCAAAACACCCAAATACACACCACTAACGCTCTGAAAGGCAATCCAAGCTGCTTCTGTCCTCACCATTTGCTGACACACTGCCCAAGGACTCCTCCACCGTAACAACTCCTCCCTTCTTCCTTGCCCTTCACAGAGATCCGGGAGGCTTTCCGAGTGCTGGACAGGGATGGGAATGGCTTCATCTCCAAGCAGGAGCTGGGCATGGCGATGCGCTCGCTGGGGTACATGCCCAGTGAGGTGGAGCTGGCCATCATCATGCAGCGCCTGGACATGGATGGTGAGTCCTGCTCTGCTCCTGGGGGACGGGGGGGCTTTCCCAGTGCTCGTGGATTGGGCTCAAATAATTCGTGGTCTCCAAGGAAGGGCCGGAGAGGAAGCTGGAGAACTTTTGCTTCCGCCACAGCCAACTCTGAGATGCCAACCTGCCTCTCAAAGCAACCCATGGGAGGGAGCTGAAGCATCTTCATGTGACAGCTGGGACACCTGGGTGCAGACAGAGCAGGTCTTGCAACATTTCTCTGCAAAGTTCACGGATCCCCAACAATCCCAACAATCCCACCCTGTCCCTGAGAGCGTTGTCCAAACCCTCCCTGAGCTCTGGCAGCCTTGGGGCTGTGCCCACTGCCCTGGGGAGCCTGGGCAGTGCCCAACCAGCCTCTGGGGGAAGAACCTTTGGCTGAGATCCAACCTGAGCCTGCCCTGACACAGCTCCAGCCATTCCCTGGGGGCTGTCCCTGCCCACAGGGAGCAGAGATGGAGCTGTCCCTCATGAAGAAGTTGCAGACCCCGATGAGTCCTCACTCACACGAGGGGCTCTTAAAGGCTGGAGGGGGATTTAACACAACTAAAAATCAACCCAAAGTCAGATGTCAGAAGCTGGGCCAGGCTGAGGATGATTGATGGAAGTGATTCCTTTGCTGCCATCACCCCCATGGAATATCCCACAGGGATCACTGAAGGCCAATTCCTGGCCCTGCCCAGGACACCCCGGGAATCCCAGTTGCAAACAGTCTTTTGCAAGGCTGTTGTCACCTTTCCCTTTGCATTCCTGGGCATCTTCTGACCCAGGGAGATGATCTGAGTGCCCAAGCAGGCAGAGCTGCCCAGCCCTGTGGCCCCAAGTGAAAGATTCTGTGGGTGGGAGCTGCTCCTTGTGGTAATGAAGTGTTGATGGGCCTGAACGAGAAGTTTTGAGGGGTGGAATAATTTGGAGCAAAGTCCTGCTGTGAGAGCTCATCAAACAATTACTGAGTGGTAATAAAAGAAACAGAACCCACCATTAACAGGGAGAGGGAAATGCAGCATCAGGATGCTGGAGCCAGGGAGGACTTTTTAACAATCAGAGCTGATCACAACGAGCAGAGCATCTTTAAAATGTCCTTGGTCAGAGCAGGAAGGGAGACACAAAAGTGTGCAGGGACTTTGGGATGCAGCTCCAAACTTCTCCCACCCTTCCAAAGGGGTGGAAACAGTGAAATGATGCCAAAGCAGAGCCCTGAAGGCAGCCCTGGTGTGGAGGGGGATCCTTGGAGAGCCAGTGAGACACCACAATCCTTGGGGAGAGTGTGGAGAGCAGAGAGCAGGGCAGGTGGGGGGATCCCTGGGGATCCCTGGATACCCCTGAGCTGCACAGGAAAACCGTGTTCAGCAGGGCAGGGAAGCAGGGGAGGGGCTCTCAGCCTGTGCAGGGTGTTCAGCATCTCCCCTAGACAGGCACAGAAACCCTGGCAGAGGGAGAAGATCAGCCGTGGAAATGATCTCATTCCTAAAAGAATGGGGGAAGAAAGAATCCATCACTTTTAAAAGCATTTTCCCCCAAAGTTATTGATTGTCCCTCGCTCTGTGCTGGCCTTTCCTGGCAGAGCAGGGCACGTCTCCTCAGGTTTTGCAAAGCCCAGACTCAGCCTGGTGCCAATTCCTGGGGTCTTTTACCGAAACTCGGAGCGTTTTTGGAAAAAGAGCTCCGGGGACTTGGCTCCCGGGTTTGATCCATCTCCAGTTATTCCCTGACTCTTGGTCTCCCGGACTTGAGGCTTTGGCACTGTTTTGTACACGCTCCTGGCGTGCAGGGACCTGTAATGGGAGAGGTGGAGTCCAAACCTGCAGCAATGGAAGGTGTTCAATTCCTGCTGGAGACTTTTCAGGAAGTGTTTTCTGCAGAGATGGGGTTGATCCTCCACCTCCTCCAGCTCAGCAGTTCCAGCAGCTCCAATCTGGGTGTGCTGGGGGGGGGTTATTGCTCTCCTGTCTCCTCTGCCTGTCGTGGCAGGGTCTGAGCAGAGGGTTTGGGGCTGCACTGATGTGAAGGTCAAGTGTATTAAAAAGAACCAGGGGAATGGGAAATTCCTGAGGCACTGAGCAAAGAGGGGAATATTCTGTGAAAGATTTACCTTGCCTGCAAATTGTATTATTGCTCTACAGCTTGAATTAATATTACATGGCTTATGGCTACTTTTGCTCTGATGGATTATCTTCATTTTTCTTGTGGGATTTAGCTTGAAATATGGAGTGAGAAGCAGGAATAGCTTCCTCCTCCCTCTCCCACTGTGATCAGCATCATCAGTAGCAGGGCTTGATCCCAGTGAGCTCCCAGGGGTGTTGGTTGTGCCTGGCACTCCCAGGGACAACCTGCCCCTCCTTCCCAAACACTCCTGTTTGTTTCCTGGTGGGGTTTTCCTGTTGGGCTTGAGGGTTGCCAAACTTTTGCAGGGCTTTGGCTCAGCATCAGGTGGGTGGGAAGCTCAGATGGATGAAAGGTCACACTCAAGGAGGGTCAGGAAAGCTGGGGGGGTTCAATGAACCTCCCTCACCTCTCCTGGCACCTGCCATGAATTATGATGTGACAGAGGGTAACGTGGCCAGACATCCATTCCCCCCCAGAACTGCTGCCAGGGTGTGCTAATAATGAGGTAATACAATTGGCAGGGCTTGAGATTTAATCTGAACCAGCCTGAGCAGACCCAGAACTTTCAGTGCAAAGACAGAGTTTTCCTCAGCGAGTCCCTCAGGAGCCTTGGGGGGTTGCAGGATGGCAGAGGGGATGGATCTGCCACGGCTTGTTTGACTGGTGGGCTTCAAACTGAGCAGCCAGAGCTGCTCTGAGTTTGGTTTTCCTTGCAAACCTTATTTTCTGTGGGGAAACAGAGGGAGGCTGAGCCCTGTGTGGGTGAGGCTGAGGAGATGTTGGTGCTATGGGATTGACAGGTTGGACACAGAGTGTTTGAAGAGGAGCAAATGCTGGAGTGGGGCTGTGGCTGAGCATGAACTGGGCTGACAAGAGCATTTCACACCTGGGTCTCACCTCCTGCCACAAAGTGCCCAGCTCAGTGAAGAGACTGAGGGGAGACCTCACTGCAGTTCCACCTTCCTGGGCAGGGGCAGAGGAGGGGCAGGGACTGAGCTCTGCTCTGGGGGGACCAGGGACAGCAGCCAGGGAATGGCTGGAGCTGTGTCAGGGCAGGCTCAGGTTGGATCTCAGGCAAAGGTTCTTCCCCCAGAGGCTGGTTGGGCACTGCCCAGGCTCCCCAGGGCAGTGGGCACAGCCCCAAGGCTGCCAGAGCTCAGGGAGGGTTTGGCTGATCCTCTGGGGCACAGGGGGTGACTCTTGGGGCTGGGCCTGTGCAGGGCTGAGGGTTGGACTGGATGGTCCTTGGGGGTCCCTTCCAGCTCAGCACATTCTGTCAGTCTGTGATAACACAGGATTGACTCTGGAGGTGCCACCGGGTGTGCTCAGTGACACCCTCAGAGCCTCCCCAGCAGAGCAGAAAGGAAGGGGCTTTCCCTAATTCATCCCATTTGAAGGCAAAATGGAGTCAGTTAGAAAACACTGCTTGAAATAAAGCACAAATGGCCGTGGCACAGCTTGGGTTTTGGCCAGGAGGTGTCAGATCACCTCTGATGCCAGGATCCCTCTCAGGATATTCCATGATTTGGCAAGGTGTGCTTCCCCCAGGTGAACAGGGGCACAGCTGCCACAGGGGGAAAGAAGAGTTGGCATAAAAGGATGAATTAGGGAGAAAAATGAGAACCTCCTTGGAAGATTTCAGGGTCTCCAGGGAAATCTTATAAGTCATCAGAATTCTTACAAATCATCAGAAACCCCCTTTGACGACCCACCGAGAGATGCCACGGTGGAAAATACCAAAATAGAGCAGAAGGAAAAGGGATTTTCAGCACAAAAATGTTCCTTTTTTAGGAAGGGAAGTGAGGAATGGTGGTTCCATCACGTGCCAGGGCATGAGATTCCCATTAGGCCCAAGCTTTGCTTACATCTTGCTGGAAGTGGGGCGTGACTGGATCCCTGCAGAAGGTGGTTGGAGCCCCTGGGCATCTCTCCAGGGTGCTGGGCCTTGGAAGGACACTTTGTTTGCTTTTGGTCTGGAAAATAGAGGTCAAATCTTACCTTTCTCTCCTTGATTTGCTTTATTCTTAGCCATAATTATGTATTGCATGAACATAAACATTGCAGGCTGGGAGAGGTGGGGATGTTTCTGTCTGCAATCTGGAGACTGACCTGGAATGTTCTGCCAGGAGGGGGGAATGTAAAATATTTAATCTATATTTCCGTGCTTGGAAAAAAAAAAGGAATTATTTGTAAATTCTTCCAATTGGCAGTAATGCTAATAAAAATGCAGAGAAATGGCACATTAAATGTGTTGCCTTATCTGGGGTGCCTCCACTTTAAGCAGAGCTTTTGCAATAAAATAGATGAATGTGTGATTTAAGTGTCAAACTCGTTCGTTACAACATGAGACACTTTTATCTGAGGAATAAAATAAGCACTCCATGTACTAATTAGAGGAGCAGCTGCTTTTCAGAACCCTGGAAAAATAACTTCAGGCTTCAAGAGGGGGGAAAGAAAAAACACCCACCCCAGTGTATCAAATTATTGTAGTACAAATAGGAACTGCTTTGATCAAGCCAAAGACGAGCTGGTTCTCTGGGAGAACAAGGGACTCACCTGGTGCCTTTGTCACCTTCTGGGATGTGGCAGTGGGAGCAGCAAAATTACAGCGGTGACACCCTGGAAAACCAGGAATTAAAAGCCAGTTTAAAAGCCTGGATGGAATCATTAAGGTTGGAAAAGACCTCTAAGGTCGTTGAGTCCAACCATGATCCACCACTGCCGAGGCCACCACTGAGCCATGTCCCCAAGTGCCACATCCCCAGGGCTGGTGAACCCCTCCAGCGTTGGGGATTCCAACACTGCCCTTGGAAAAGGGCAGCCTTTTCCAAGCCTTGGCAACCCCTTCAGCAAAGGCATTTTCCCTAATATCC